AAGGTAAATTTTGACTCAGAAAGATAAATTATGGGGGTGTTTGACACCCATTTTAATAGAAAAATGTGTTTTTGAATAGTGATTGATGGAAGAATGTGTGGTTAAAAAGTAAGGAGAATTTTTAGGTTTATGTGTAATTTTATTTTATTGATAGAATGTGTGGTTGAAATAAAGGAAGAGAAAAAGAATGAAAATGAGAACTTGAAAAAAATGGGTGCCAAATGGAGGCTTAATTTATCAAACTTACTCCATTCTATTGCATTAAATGTCTCGTTATGAATTCTGAAAATTCCCCCAAGAAGAAAACAAACCCCCACAGTTGAAAATGTGAGATATTCATATGTACTACTTTCTGCACATAACCTAGNCGGAACCACCTATCGAACAACAAGAGGTTAGTTTCGCTTGAGAAGCATATATCTTGCATATTTTCGAGTCTTAATGTCGTCTAATTCTATTTCACACGGAATACTAAAAGAACGAGGTGTTTGACACCCATTTTAGTAGAAAATTTGTTTTTGAATAGTGATTGATGGAAGAATGTGTGGTTAAAAAGTAAAGAGAATTTTTAGGTTTATGTGTAATATTATTTTATTGATAGAATGTGTGGTTGAAATGAAGGAAGAGAAAAATAATGAAAATGAGAATTTGAAAAAAATGGGTGCCAAATAGGGGCTTAATTTATCAAACTTACTCCATTCTATTGCATTAAATGTCTCGTTATGAATTCTGAAAATTCCCCCAAGAAGAAAACAAACCCCCACAGTTGAAAATGTGAGATATTCATAGGTACTACTTTCTGCACATAACCTAGNAAGAAGAAAACAAACCCCCACAGTTGATAATGTGAGATTATCATATGTACTACTTTCATCACATAACCTAGGTGTCTTCCATTTAACCATGGGATCATTAATATACTATTAAACGTGCACACGCAATTATCCATAGGGCAGCAGAGTGACGTACACGTGCCAAACAAGAAAAAATATATTTTTTTTTCTTTATTAAAAATTCATAGACACAATTATAATGGACCCAAAATTGCATTTTTTACTAGTCAAACCATGGAAACTTTCAAGCAAGAATTGTTAGTCAAAAGACTTAACACTTGGGAAAAGATTAGGTACAAAGATTAATTACACATTAAATTCTATAGTCAAACAAAAGAACTGTAATCCTACATTTTGTCACAGTCCAGCTGCAAGCAAGGTGAGAATTATTGAGAATTTAGGGCAGAAGATTTCAAACTCCTAGCCACACTTTTCAATCATTTCTCACCAACTTGAACAACTTTTTGGGCTAAGCATGTGTTAGTTTATTATATATTTTAAAGTATAAGAAAATATGGCTTCCTGTCCCGAGAAGAAACTCATTCTTCGTTTCCATCTTGGGTCATTCCATTGTACAAAAGTTAGCAGTAGATTCATTAATTATGAGAGCGAGAATAAGATTTTTGCATTTCTTCAAAGATGCACGGAGTGTGGAGAGAGAGAGAGTTGCACTCAATTGTCAATCCACAACTAAAAAAGCTGTGCAAAAGAAATAGGTTTTCAGAGAGAATGGAAGAGGTAAAACAGAAGAAAGTGGAGCAACTGTACCTTGAAAAACTCAGATTCTACTAGTGAACCTGCAATGGAATAAGGTTTGAGGGTGGTGTGTAAGAAATCTTGCTGTAGCACAGAGAATGGAGTAATAGTGCACATTTGAGGTGTTTCTTGAATCTGCCATTTGAATTTACTCTCTTCATTGTCACTTTTCTCAGCCCTAGTCTGCATGTAATCATCATCAGAGTACGGATTGGCGACTGACTCACGTATTCTTTGCTTCTCTGAGAAAGAATTAAACTTCTCGATTCGAGCTCTGACCACAATATGTGAAAGCAAAAAGAATATCATGACTATTCATGCATAAATAAATGATTTCTAAAAGATAAAAGCACAACATGCAAATCTATTGTTTCTTGCTACAACCCTTTTTGAGATGTGAGCCTAATGTTGAGGCTGTAAAAACTAAAAGAAGGCTTACTTTTTTACAGGTAGAGGAGAGTAAATGAACTGTCGTGAATCTGATCTTTCAATTGGAATTTCTTGTTCAACACACCCTTCTTGATGATCTTCTTCAAGTAACTTTTTCTTTTGCTGTGTACTGCTGCTTCTATCTACATTTGAAGAAAAGATATTTGGTTAAGAGATTTGGATAGTAAAATGGCAGTGTTTTTCATTAAAAATGCCAACATTAGAAGATTTTAAAGAAACGTGGGTTCATTCTCATGCTTGTTGGAAGCAACTTCATGGGGAAATAAGTAATAAATGAAGGGAGATATCCACTCATTTCTAAAAGATACTAGGTCATCAACATTAACAAGGTACATCGATGTGAACTAATAAAGGAAATAATCATCATCATTCCCAAACTGCTTCATAAAATCTATAACCAACATAGGATTCCCTTAAAAAATCCGATATGGTGGCTTGCTTAAGAACAATCTTAGAATAAGATTTGCTCGTTGAGTGTCTTTAATACCATATTAAGATGACAT